GAATGTGTTTTGACCGTGACCTGGAGCGGTGATGAAGCCGTGGAAGTGGTGGTAACGGGACGACAGGTGGAGGCTCTGCGACTGGAGTCTCTGGTGGAAGTTGTGGCACACTTGGAGGAGGACTCTTAGACCTTTCTTTGGTCATTTCCATAAACGCCTGCATGCCCGATTCCACTGTGTGACGCACCTGTTGAATCATCTCTTCTGGATTGAAGGTGGTGTTGGGCCCTTGTTGAACGGGTTGAGATGGAGTTGGAGCGGGAGGTGTTTGGACTGGCTGCACCGTTGGTGGATCAGGTACTGATGGAGGAGTCTGATGAGATGCCGTTGGTTGAGGAGACTGATGGAATGGGAGAAGCTGCTGAAGTTGCTGAATATGGGTCTGAGCTTGGGAATTCAATTGTTGATTCAATAGTTGATTCTGTTCCCTTAACTGAGCCAACTGAGCTTGAGTCTGAGCTTGTGACTGAGCTTGAGACTGTTGGTTCATCATATCACCTCCACAAAATTGACCAAATTGTGCTGCAGCTTGAGGTGGAGTAAAGGCAGGCGCTGACCAGCCAAAGTTCCACATGTTCTCCGACAGGTTTGGCCAACGATTAGGAAACATGGCCAAATTTGACAGGTCTGGCAGCACTGTCAGACGATTGAAATAAAATTAGTTCAAACAGGATGCATCCACAATTCATGCAAGGATCGTGATAAGGCTCAAAGGCCCTCGGTATTCAATTCAACCCCATCGACGGCTGTCAGTAGTCAAATGAATTACATGCACAATTGAACCTCACCAACGACCAAAAAAGAAAGAAGTACCAAACCTGCAAGGATGTCCTGTTGCCTCGAATGTCATGTAAATGGCTGCGGTCAGTCTCTTGAGTTCCAGTAAAAAGGCCGGATGTTGTCGTGGCTTCCAACTATGCAAGACTGCGAAAAGAAGAAGAGGCCCGAAACAGCGGCCAGTTGTTCAACACATCGACATCGACGAGGTGAAAACCGAAAAAAGGCTGGCTGTTCACTTTACTTAAACGAATTACTAATTCAAAAGTGTAAATTCAGACATCGTTTTACTGTCAATTGTTAGCCTGGAAAGGCTTTCCCCGAAGGGTTCCTGCCAACTTGACGTATACAGCAGGAATGACACACTTGCTCAGAAACAGCAATGCGAATTTTGTTGTGGAATGCATCTCACGTGCATAAGACAATCCCTTAAAAACTGCCAGGAAAATTTCGTTGATCCAGCGTGAAATTCATGGCGAAGTAAATTTTCTACGTCCTTGCTCAGAGGAAGGTTCAGATGCAGCGAAGTCCAAAATAAAATAAAATAATACCAGATTGCGACAACAGTGCAGCAAGTTAACATTGACAAGTAGACGGCATGGAGGTTCTTGGGTTGAGCCTCTTCCCATTTCTGAAGGTTAGCAGGTACGCCAGACTGATCAGGTCTGGTATCACCACCAATTGCAAGTGTCTTCGTTGGCAGTAGACTTGCAATGGTGCTACTGCCCCCTGCTTCTTTCAAAAGCGAAAACCATGAAAAACAACCATCAGCAAAACAAAGGAAGTTTTACATCTTTTCAGATGGTCCACACACACACACAACAACACACACACACAACAACAACAACAACAACAACAACAACAACAACAACAGCAACAACAACAACAACAACCAACAACAACAACAACAACAACACACACAAAAAACAACACACACACACACCAACAACACACACACACCAACACACACACACACACCTTTGCGTGGCAGGCGTGGCACAACCAGACATCCACCTTCGTTTTGCGTGGCAGGCGCGGCATAAACTCACATCCACCGTCGTTTTGCGTGGCAGGCGTGGCACAACCTCACAGCTACTGTCGTTTTGCGTGGCAGGCGTGGCACTCATGGCACTGGGTGGCGCGCTTGGACTGGCTTGGTCGCCCGTGACGCCCGTGACGCCGCGGCACTTTGCGTGGCAGGCGTGGCACAACCAAACATCCACCTTCGTTTTGCGTGGCAGGCGCGGCACAAACTCACATCCACCGTCGTTTTGCGTGGCAGGCGTGGCACTCATGGCACTGGGTGGCGCGCTTGGACTGGCTTGGTCGCCCGTGACGCCCGTGACGCCGCGGCACTTTGCGTGGCAGGCGTGGCACAACCAACATCCACCTTCGTTTTGCGTGGCAGGCGTGGCACACTCACATCCACCTTCGTTTCGCGTGGCAGGCGTGGCACTCATGGCCTGGGTGGCGCGCTTGGACTGGCTTGGTCGCCCGTGACGCCCTGACGCCGCGGAGGCACTTTGCGTGGGGCGTGGACGAACCACTCCACCGTAGTTTGCGTGCAAGGCGTGGCCACATGGCACTGGTGGCGGCGCTTGACTCACACTCCACCGTCGTCCCATCGTTTCGCGTGGCAGGCGTGGCACTCATGGCACTGGGTAGCGTGCTTGGACTGGCTTGGTCGCCCGTGACGCCCGTGACGCCGCGGCACTTTGCGTGGCAGGCGTGGCACAACCTCACATCCACCTTCGTTTTGCGTGGCAGGCGTGTCACAATCGAACATCCACCATCGTTTCGCGTGGCAGGCGTGGCACTCATGGCACCCGTGACGCCCGTGACGCCGCGGCACTTTGCGTGGCAGGCGTGGCACAACCTCACATCCACCTTCGTTTTGCGTGGCAGGCGTGTCACAATCGAACATCCACCATCGTTTCGCGTGGCAGGCGTGGCACAACCTCACATCCACCTTCGTTTTGCGTGGCAGGCGTGGCACAAACTCACATCCACCGTCGTTTTGCGTGGCAGGCGTGGCACTCATGGCACTGGGTGGCGCGCTTGGACTGGCTTGGTCGCCCGTGACGCCCGTGACGCCGCGGCACTTTGCGTGGCAGGCGTGGCACAAACTCACATCCACCGTCGTTTTGCGTGGCAGGCGTGGCACAACCTCACATCCACCGTCGTTTTGCGTGGCAGGCGTGGCACTCATGGCACCCGTGACGCCCGTGACGCCGCGGCACTTTGCGTGGCAGGCGTGGCACAACCTCACATCCACCTTCGTTTTGCGTGGCAGGCGTGGCACAAACTCACATCCACCTGTATTTGTTGCTTTGACAACCCACTCCATATACATCGCTGTCCTTTTGCGGCCAGGTACTTTTCCGTTCTGGTATCGTCATCGGGCCTATGACCTTAGGGATACCTTAGGGCAGGCGCGGTTTTCTTCGTAGGTCACCGGTTGAAGTCATCGTAGTACTCTCTTCGTTTTCTCCTAGACCCATTGTTAACCCCATGTGGGAAGAGTGGGGTTGCGACGGCCAAATCAAAACTGTTCGTGACATGTGCTACAGACTGAATTGTATCGTTTCTACGCATGTTGCTTTGATAGCTAGCTGCATATACGCGTTCTGTCCTTTTGCGGCCAGGTACTTTTTCGCCCTTGCATCGTCATCGGGCCTGTGACCTTAGGGCAGGCCGCGGCTGTCTTCATAGTTCACCAGTTGGAATCGTCCACAAACTCTCCTAGATTTGTTCCGTGACAGCTGGAGCTGACATGCTTTGACATTGGTTTGGCGCAATGGTTTGGCGGATGAACATTGCAAGAATTGACATTGCAAGAATGTGACCAGGTGTCTATGCTCGAACGGGATTAACATTGGCCTGCTCGCAACGAGAAAAAGTCGGCGCGTATGCCGCATGCCAGTGTCTACATTGACCTCCTTTCATGTCTTGTACCTTGCTCTATGTACCTCCTACATGACCATTTCGTTGGGGTCTTGTACCATACATACACACATACATACATACACACACACATACATACATACATACATACCTACCGTTTTACCTTCTCGATCTTTCACCACCTCCTTTGTCTTTCCTTCCTTCCCCGTCCCTGCTAAAACCATTGAAACTCATTTTCGGAAGAAGTTGACTTGTGGGGTTATCCGGCCCTTTAATTTTCCAAGGAAAAGTGGTTTTAGGCACACCGGTTCTGAAACCACCCTTATTTCGAATTATATTGAAATGATATTGAAATCGTCCTAACTTTTGCGAACTTTTCGATTTGGAGTGGAACCGATACAAAAAAAAAAAAATGATTTCACCATATCTTGGTAACACGGTTGCTCGAGCAAAAGTTATCAAAAACACAGCTCTGGGCAAAGCGGACGCCACCCAGAACCATAGTCGAAGGAGCCGTCGTCAGACCCTTGGATGCAGAATCTGAATCTGAAGTAGAGGTACAAGATGACCCTTGTGAGGCCGTATTAGTCGGGCTGGAGCATGGAGGCAAACCGAGAGCATTGGCCACAGACCCATGTGCAGATCGGGCTATCGGAGAGCCGGTCCGGCTCCTGGAGAGGGACAGAGAACTCTCTCACGTCAAAAGGAGATCCTCCGTCAGGCTTTGCGACCATCATCGGCAGCTCTACGTGGCGGCATGTTCAAGCCGAAAATGCAGCGTGTTGGCATGCTACGAACAGGTTGATGGTGCCAAACAGGAGTTCCCCTCTGCAAGCACCACCTGACGGACCTTGGTGGTTGTGCTCGCCCTACCCGCAGGGTTAGCTGGACACATGAGAGAGATAGCTCCATTGCACGATCCGAGGCATCTATGTCCGAAGGAGAATGCCTCACCCCTGCACGAAGAAGCCGCCGGATCACCTCTGACGGTGCTGAACGACTTGGGCCCAGGGCTGCTTCGGCCGATCCTAGTGAATCCCAGAAGAAGATTGAAGGCAAGCTGGAGAAGGGGCCGTGCATGGTGCTCCTCAGACCAAAGTCATTGCAAACCGCGGAGGCCCCACCAAGGTGGACTGCATGGTTGGGGTGCATCGAGGGGTTCGCCGAAGAAGGGCGCAGCCAGGAGCTGCTCGAAGTCCACATCCCTTCCTTGAAGCAAACGTGTGTGATCCACAGAAGGCTGTTGAAAGGGTCCCCTGCAGACAACGGGGCGGGTCGAATTAGTAAGCATTGGGTGCAAAAGTTCCTTCAGCATACCCATGACGAAGAAGTCGGCCAAGGGATATCGGATATCGGTCTTGGTCGCGCGCCTGTCCGAAGACCAAGCAGCGGCCCTGAATGCCTGGGACGGTGAGGTGACGGATGAAGGAGCGAAGCCAAGTAAAGCCTGGCAGGGGAGACTCTACCGGGAGATCCTCCCACATGCTGATGCATATTTGCGTGAAGAAGCTGGGATGTCCGACGACTTTATGACACCGCCAAAGCCGAAAGTCGAGCTGGAAGAGGGTGCGGGACCAGCGATTCCACCCTTCCCAGACCTAGATGATTCAGATCGCCAGGGAAGAATGGAAGCGGCTCGAAGAGCTCTTGACCAGCACATTGAGGGAGAGATAGATTCCGAAGTGTTGCAGACCGTGGCCACTGCCTTCGACCTAGATCATGAGCAACTGGCTCAGTCGATGTATGCGAGGAATCACCGCCTTAGCTACTCGAAGCCAACGGCACCACCAGGATTGGGAGCCGACCAAAGCGAAATGGAGTTTGCAAGCAGACCCGCGACGGCAACTATGCCAGGAGGAGTGACCGTAAAGCCAGCAGTCCCCCGGCCGGCGAATCCACTTCTGCCGAGGAGCTCCTCCTCAATCCCCCCGGTCCAGAGAGGTGGATTGTCGCTCTTTCCCAAGGGGTCAGGCGGTCGAAACAGTCTCGTGAAACCAGCATCGGAGCAGATGCCGGATGGCAGAGCAGGAGCCACGTTCGGAGAAGCCCTCGGAGACAGCACACAAGTCCAGAGCGCGGACCGCATCATTCACGCCATCGACGGTCTGAGAAGAGCACAGGATGACGACAAAAACCTCACGAAAGGGACCTTGAGTTCTATCAAAGAGGCGGAGAAGATGGACGTCTTCCTGGCACGAGGCTGTGGCACCCTGACCGTTGAACTCGCACCGGGAGTGTACGGGAAGGAACTTTTCCACGCGGGGAAAAGGGTGGCAAATCACGTTCGCCATATGCTGCACTTGATCAAATGGCCGGTGCTGATGACCAACGAGTCCTACTTGGCATCGCTGGTCTGTGGTGGGGTGGCAAAGACACCTATACCTTGCACGCAAGTGACTGCGTTACCGCTCGGTCCGAGCAGTTGGACAGTTGGAATCCGTCCTCCGACAACAAGATCGAAAATCGCATAAGACCACCAGGAGTCTTCAACACTTGGCTCAGGTACGTTCGTGTGTTTGGATCCTGCTATGGTACAGAGCATATCCAAGAAAGACTCGATTGTCTCCAAGCCTTGAAGGAGGCCCATGAAGAAGACGAGCATGCCTTCCCAGCTGCCTACTGCATCGAGCTCTTTGAGGAACTTGTCGCGGCTTGGTGCGAAGAACTGCGAGAAAGCAGAAGGAAACTCTGCTCTCTGCTGGGGACCGAAAATCCACGGCTTGAAGACCTGAAGCTGCTAGCTTTGGCGCCTGGAGCGGATGGGCAAGCAAACTTCCAGTTTCCAAGCATATGGGATCTGGGCGATCCGAACGGATATTACCAGACAGTTGTGGTACCCAGGCAGCAAAGGCAAATGTCGAGGCTGCTCCACAAGCAGCTGCACGACCACAACCTCAAGCAGAAGAAGACAGCTGGTCCAGCTGAAGATGAAGAGCCAAGGACAGGGAAAGCCCCAAAGCTTAACCTGAAAGACAAAGAGGCCGATGGATATGCGGGCGGCAGCATGAAATCAGCCTACCCAGCTGGAAAACGGCTTACACAAGGAGAAGCTTCACGGTCCGTGGGGCACGCACCTAAGGATCCCAAGACCAACAAACCTATCTGCTGGGGTGCGGCCACACACATGGGATGCACAAGAGGCGACAAGTGCCAGCACACACACGAGCCTTTGCCGGGATTGGCCAAACTTGACTACACAGTTGCCATGCAGGTCATTCGAAGAGGAGGACTCAAAGGTGGGCCGAAAATCGATCCCAAGGAGGTCGACGGAAGGGTCGCTCAGCTGCGGACCCAGGCAGCGGCGGATAAGGCCGACAAGATCCAACCTAGCAAGAAAGCGAAAGCCAAGCCCAAGCCAAAGGCCAAAGCTGGGAAGGAAGCTGAGGGTAAAGCTGAAGAAGACAAGGTTGGGAACACCCAGTGGGTCGCACCTGAAGACTATGATATCCCTTTGACCCATCTCGAGACTGACTTGCAAGAGGCGGTTCAGGGCCCAGATGAGGGCTGGCTGCGGATACCCTCACAACCCACTGAGCAAGAAGCCGCTCCGGCTTGGGATGACCAGAGCCAAGAGGAGCGGGAAAGGCTGAAACGATGGAAGTCGCTGGAGGAGAAAGGGGTTCTGGCAGCCTTGGATTCGCACACGGATTATCTCAGGTCCCATGTCATTGCACGCATGATGGCAGCACAATATGAAGGATATGAACTGGAGCTGAACCGGTGTCTCGAAGATGCGGCAGAACATGGACATCCCGCACTCTCTAAGGAAGCCGGACGTCAACTTGAGCTCCTCAAGCACGAGCCGAAAGCGGGTCACCAAGCGGATGTCGAATTTACGCCCATCACATGGGACGATGGTATTGGTCATGGCCTGTTGAACTTTCAAGGAAACTTGTCGCATATCGGCTCAGTCACGGTCCGTGACTACCAGGATCGCTTGAACGCAAAAGACAGCGAGGTCCCACTGCAAGACGGGCAGTTGGAAGAAGAGCGCCAATGCCTGCCTCTTCATGTGGGTGTCGGGTTAACGTTGGCCGATGATCCATCTGTAGAACTACGAGAGGCCGTAGCCAGAGCCAACCAGTTGAGAAAACATCTCTGGGATGAAGCAGTGGAGGCTCACGCACACCTTGGCGATCCGCCAGCCTGGATACCTGAGGGCGAGCATTTCTTGCGTCAAAACGTCCATGATTGCCTCTTTCCTCACCACGAGAAAGACTACCGCGCCCTGCAAACCCTCACAGGATCCATGCTGCAAGGATACACGTTGGCGGTCCTCAGGATTTCCTATTTTGGTCGGTTGGAGGCCGACCTGCTCCACGGAGATGATGCTGGCAATGGGAAGCTAGTTTTCGTTACCATCCACCGGCAGCATATGCGCCTGCTTCTTCCACAACAGCCTCAGCAGCTGTTGGATCACCTGAGGACTGCAGACAAGGTTAATCAGGGAACTTCAGGTTGAACATTGGAGGGTGATCTTGGACCAGAGCAAAGTGGAGGATCAGATGGTTCCAGCCAAGTCCCCCGCCTGCACAAGATGCCAACAACAGCAGCAAAGGCCTTATCGTGTTGGTGAAGGATTCCCGTTGCCACCGGCTTCATTTGAGTCCTGCTTGCAGGATGATCCACAGGCTCTTCAAAACAGCGGTGTGCCTCTGCGAAAAAGGCTCGCCTTCGCCTATGGGCCAATCGAGGACCCGATCCAGCATCTGAAGTTCAAGGAAATGAAGACGCAGAGTTCGCAGCCGAACTTTGTACGGTTCTGGCGGACAACGGATCGAAGACTCTTCGCATTGGAGAGTAGCGCGCCGTCGGGCCGCTATCCCAAGATATGGGACCTGCCTTGTATGCAGAGGCTCCGCCGCCGCACCGGCGCAAAAATTGTCTCTATGGCTATGTGCGCTTGGGGTCTGGGACCGCCTGAGACTGAGGAGGGCCTGTTTCATCGCAAGCATTCTTGGTGGCTGGTCTCCCCAGAACTCTACCCATGGGCCTTGTTATTCCTTGGTAGGCAGTGCCCAGGAGTCGGCCCGACTCACCAGCACGCACCCTTGAAGGGACCCAGTCCAATTCCTCAAGTACCTCTCACTCGACTGGCACAGCAATACGCACCAGCTTTGTGTGCAGCCTGGGGTCTGGTAGTCCGAGCAGCCTTTGAAGAATGGAGCTGGACAACATATCTGCAAGAGCACAGCGTGCTCAAAGCCCTAGAGAAATGTTGGACCGAACTGGGCGCACCCCCTTGGCCGGCTGATCCAGCCAATACTTTGGAGCGAACACTTGGCCAACATTTGGCACCGGTGGTTGCTGGCCAAGCGGATGGACCAGGCCTCCCACATGGCTATGTTCAGGATGCGGGCTCCAACAGATGGTCTACCCTTGTACGTTTTGTGGGGGGGAGGGGTCTGTTTCCGATCCCGAAAAGCAAGCTGAGGGGCAGGGCACAAGGGCAGGCAGCGTCGACGACGCCAATGGCCAAAGCACTGCTGAGAAATACTTGGAGGTATGCCAGAGTGCTTACAGCAAGGAGGCAGTGAGAAAAGCAACAGAGGCAGGAAATGCGTTGTTGAGGGCCGCCGGCTCGGTGCCAAGAGCAGCTGAATTAGTCAACAAAGCGAGGCTGAGGAAGTATGGGGAACACTTCCAGAAGGCAAAGGAAGGAGCATTGAAAGGGCTCAGCCCCCTACGCGAGCAATACTTGAAAGACTGTGTGCCCAAGGGCGTGCCCAGTCGAGCTAAGAGTACCCCCAAGAGAGAGAAGGCCCGAAACCACGGCTCCGTCACGGGGCACGAGGAAGAGATGCTGCAGAAGGCATGGAAAGACGCATCTTATGGGGCGGTACTTCTGTGTTCCACAGAGACCGAAGACCAAGAAGAAAATCGGCAAATCGACCAGATACTGACCGAGAGCAAGGTGGCCGAGAGCCCTCTCGGCCGAGTGCCCAAGCAAAACCCCGACAGAACCATCTCAGCGGAAGGTCGTCCCATCAACGATATGCGAGCTAGGAATGCTTCGGGCTCCAAATACGACCACCCACCCGCCGCTCAGCCTAGGCACAGAGCAGTGGTCAGGCAAAGCCTTTGGTGGAGGGTGCGACACCCGAAAGTTCCACAGAGGTGTGCGAAACGCGATGTGCCAAGGGCTTTCAAGTGGCACTTCCTCAAGCCGGGCGATGTCCCTGAGTTCTGCACGAGGATTCTAGGTGTGCTGATCCTGAGTCTGGTGATGGTGTTCGGTTGGGTAGGAGCGCCAGGGGAGTTCGTGATATGGGCCACCGCAGCCCAAAAGCACCACGGGTCGTTCCGACCATGCCACCTTCAATTCAACGATGTGGTGCCCTACACCAGCCGATGGCTGATGGATGACGGCGTGGTGGTAGAGGGGAATAGGATCCAGAGATCCCTGTCAGCAATGGATGCAGTCTGGGGCCCTGGAGCCATCAATCTTGACAAGAAGGCACCCCGGCAAAATCCCAGCTCCTGTGGGGCCTACACCTAGACTTTGAAGAACAGGTTGTGGTCCTCCCGGAACCGAAGCGAATAAAGGCGAAGTATCTCTTAAGAGAGCCTCAGCTTCAAAGGGGGTGCCAACGAGTTCGTACCAAGCTGCTCCGAGAACTGGCCGGGACAGCGCAGTATTGGGCCGTCTCCGCTCCGGAGATTGCACCCTATCTACCAGTCTTTTACAGGCTCCTGCAGCAGGAAGTAGGCGATCATGAATGGGTGAAACCCAGGGGGTCGGAGAGTGAGCTAGAGGCTGCCTGGGCTGAGTTCTGGGATGCGCTCGATTGGGTTCGCCTCCAGATGGAAAAGCCTTGGGGAACCAGTTTCAAAACAGCTTTCGGCAAGCTCCTGCCGTTAAGGAAAGGCTCGCACTCCCTGGCATGGCCGCTTCGGCCCGATTCGTTGGAGGAGATGCCACGCTAACCAGGCTCGGAAGCACTGATTGGAAGGATAAATGCTACCACATGGCTGACAGCAGCAGATACGTCAGGGCCGTGAGCGAAGTCGTAGCGGGGATCACTTGGAGATCATCGGAGTGATGTAGCTTCTGACGTTCATTGTCCTGGCAGCGGCGCGGAAGGAAACTTGGCAGGGGCAACTGATCCTTTATGTGACTGACAACATGAATGTCAATGCATGGTTACGTACCAGGCGCGCTTCAAACAGATACGTGAGGGCGCTCTTGCTGCTGCTCCAGCGGCTCGAAGCGAGAATAGCTTCGCTGTCGATGGAGCGTACGTCCGTACCTACCACAACATCCTCAACGACTGGCTGACAAGGGAGGATGAAGACAAGGTCCATGCGGAAATGGGCAGTGGCTGGACCCGCCTCGAGCTCAATGAGGACTGGGAAGGGCTCCTGCGAGAAGCCATGCGCCCCACGTTGAAGCTACCAGGGGAGAAGGGTCCGAGTGCAGCTTTAGCCATCCAGCTGGCCAACGAACAGCAAACCGTGCATGCCTTCCCCGCCATGATCGAGCCAAAGCCATTCAAAGGGGGACTCCACCAAATCCGGCTAGGGTCGGAACTACTGACGTTCGAGCTGGGGTGGGTCAAGGGCGGAGGATCGATCGCAAGCCAGGCGCAAGCTGACTGGGGCGGGAGGCAGACCTCCTTCTAAAAACCCTCGCCAGAACTGATTGGAGAGGACGACTTATCGTTGACCAGCCAGGGAGCTCTCTGAAACCAGCCGAAATCGCCTGATGCAGCTTCAGGTTCAATGGGGTCAGGCACAAGTGGTCGACTATCAGACTTCACACCACGGCAGCTTCTTTGCCAGGGCCAGAAGACTTTGGCTTTTTGGAGGAACGGCCGACGAAAAGGAGAGAGTTCAAGCGTGGCGAGTTGCACAAGTCAACGAGTGTCAGATGTTACCTCTGCGATCCGCAGAGGAGTCAGGTAAGGGATTATGCCCGCCCGACTACCTTTTCACGAGAGAACCGAACCTCATCACCACCGGAGACAAGTGGCTTCCGAAACCAGTTGGCCACTTGGTTGACGTGCGCGCCGGCAGCAGGCACCTGGTCCATAGCACACGGGGCCCAGCTTGCGGACCTAGGCTCAGAGGTGAGCGTCTTAAGATCCCAGGAGGCACCCTGTTGGAAGATGGGACGGGTCTGGTCCGTCCTCTCCTCCCAGATGAGGTGTGGGAAATGCAAGGGGGCCTCGCAGAGGATTGGCGTTCCGCCGACTCGAAGAGAAAGGATCGCATGATAGCAGCTGCAGTCCGGGAGCCAGGCTGGCAAGCGGCTATGAGTCTCATGCAGGCTTTGACTGGAACCGATGGGAAGGCAGGAGTCCTGGACCCCGATGAGATCCAAGCCCACGAGCAGCTAGAGGTCTGGCTGTGAGCGTGGGGGAGGAACCCGAAGGCTCCCTCTTCCGAGCTTTTCCTTACTTCGTGGAAAGAGCCACGTGTGGCAGTGGCACCCACTCATGAGTTCGTGGGAGCGACAACCCAGGCGAAAGCAGGCAGAGGCAAACGCACCACCGTGAAGCCAGCACTCAGTGAAGTGGAGAGGCTGGTCCAGCCCGCATCCAAAAGAGGCGGGACTACTGGGATCCCCCCTCCCCGAGGAGGGAGCACAGCAGAGCTTGACCAGGTAGCCATGGAAGCTGTCTTGGCCCAAACTGGCTGATTCAACTCGCAGGGTCTATGCATCAGGCTGGAAGCAATGGGCGTTGTACAATGCCAGCTCGGGCACTCACCCGTTCCTTGACGGAGATGGCACTTGCGGCACTCAGCTGGATCTGGTGGCGCGCTTGGGCGCACTTGGCTCTTTTCGCTGGCAGGCCTGGCACTTGGTGACATCCACCGTCATCTCGCGTGGCAGGTGGCACTGGGCTGGCTCTGGTAGCGCACTTGGGGGCTCTTGGGTGCACTTGGTCGCCGGTGCCGCCGCGGTACTTTGCGTGGCAGGCGTGGCACTTGGCGACATTCACCTTCGCTTTGCGTGGCAGGCATGGCACTTGGTGACATCCAACTTCGTTTCGCGTGGCAGGCCTGGCACTTGGTGACAGCAGGCGTGGCACTTGGTGACATCTACCTTCGTTTTGCATGGCAGTCATGGCACTTGCGGCACTCGGCTGGATCTGGTGGCGCGCTTGGGCGCACTTGGCTCCTAGGCGTGGCACTTGGTGACATCCACCTTCGTTCCGCGTGACAGGCGTGGCGTATTGCGTGGCAGGTGTGGCACTTGGCGACATCCACCTGTGTGTTGCGTGGCAGGTGTGGCACCCATTTGTCACACGCAACTTTGTCACACACAACTCTGTCACACACCATCTTTCACCACACCATCTTTCACACACAACTTTGTCTCACACCATTTTTCGCCGCACCATCTTCCGCACACCACCTTGACACACCATCTTTCACACACAACTTTGTCACACACACCATCTTTCTTTGTCACACGCCACCTTTCACATACAGCTGTGTCACACACAACTTTTTTTAATTCTCGATCCTCCACCATCTCCTTTGTCTTTCCTTCCGTCCCCGTCCCCGCTACAACATTTGTTGCTCATTACTGGAAGAAGTTGACTTGTGGGGTTATCCGGTCCTTTAATTTGTCTTGGCAGATGCGGCTAAAAGGCACAGCCACATCCCAAAGAGAATGTGGGCAAAAAACAATACGTAAATTTTGCCGAAGTTAAAAAGATACAAAGCTGTTTTTCCTTGACGTTTGCTTAGACAACATGGATTTTCGTGCTGGCTGATATTGGGTCTACAAGGTGTTTCATGTAAATTATGCCAGCCCACTCGCCTGTGGACTCAACTGCTTCAGGTGCTGAAAACAAGATTTTCAGCAAACAAATCTATGATATATGTTATTCCCGAGAGCGCCTGCGAAGGGTTCTTTGTAAAAAAGCAGCCGTTATACTACATCTTCACACCTTCACATCTGCTGATCTACATCTTCACACCCTCACACCTGCAGATCTACATCTTCACACCTTCACACCTGCAGATCTACATCTTCACACCTTCACACCTTCACATCTGCTGATCTACATCTTCACACCCTCACATCTGCTGATCTACATCTTCACACCCTCACACCTGCTGATCTACATCTTCACACCCTCACACCTGCTGATGTACATCTTCACACCCGCACACTTGCAGATCTACATCTTCACACCCTCACACTTGCAGATCTACATCTTCACACCCTCACACCTGCAGATCTAGATCTTCACACCTTCACATCTGCAGATCTACCTCTTCACACCTTCCCATCTGCAGATCTCCTCTCGCTCTTCTTTCTATTCTCTCTTAAGGCGGGGGCGGTGCCGCCGGAGCGCCACGAAACGCAACCCTTTCGCACGAAATGGACGTTGGACGTCAAAAACTGAGGAAAAATTGCGAGTTTGAGGTGTCGCGCGCAACCCTTTCGCACGAAATGGACGTTGGACGTCAAAAACTGAGGTGTCGCGTGCAACCCTTTCACACGAAATGGACGTTGGACGTCAAAAACTGAGGAAAAATTGCGAAAAAAGGTGTCACTTTGCAACCCTTTCGCACGAAATGGACGTTGGAAGTCAAAAACTGAGGAAAAATTGCGAGTTTAACCCGTCCATCGCGACCCTTTCGCACGAAATGGACGTTGAACGTTAAAAACTGGGGAAAAAATGCGAAAAAAGGTATCACTTTGCAACCCTTTCGCACGAAATGGACACACAGAAGCTCTTGTGTGTAAAAGCGTTTGTGTGTAAAAGCTCTTGTGTGTAAAAGCTTCTGTGTGTAATAGGGTCCGTGCATAAAAGCGTCTGTGTGCAAAAGCGTCTGTGTGTAAAAGCCTCTGTGGGTAAAAGCGTTTGTGTGTAAAAGCGTCTGTGTGTAAAAGCGTTTGTGTGTAAAAGCGTCCGTGTGTAAAAGCGTCTGTGTGTAAAAGCGTTTGTGTGTAAAAGCGTCTGTGTAAAAGCGTCTGTGTGAAAAAGCGTCTGTGTGTAAAAGCTCTTGTGTGTAAAAGCTTCTCTGTGTAAAAGGGTCTGTGCGTAAAAGCGTCTGTGGGTAAAAGCGTCTGTGTGTAAAAGCGTTTGTGTGTAAAAGCGTTCGTGTGTAAAAGCGTCTGTGTGTAAAAGCTCTTGTGTGTAAAAGCTTCTGTGTGTAAAAGGGTCTGTGTGTAAAAGCGTCTGTGTGTGAAAGCGTCTGTGTGTAAAAGCGTCTGTGTGAAAAAGCGGCTGTGTGTAAAAGCTCTTGTGTGTAAAAGCTTCTGAGTGTAAAAGGGTCCGTGCGTAAAAGCGTCTGTGTGCAAAAGCGTCTCTGTGTAAAAGCGCCTGTGTGTAAAAGCTTCTGTGTGTAACATGGTTTGTGCGTAAAAGTGTCTGTGTTCTGTCTCCGTGGACATGGTGTTGCATTCATTCTTTCGTGGTTGTGTTTTCTGGTTGTTCCAAATCAAGCATGGAGTTTTACCGCACAAGTCTGTGCGAGCGGCATTCAACTACATTTTCTACAAAGGAATCTTTTGGTCGGAGCCTCAAGTGATGCCTTTCTCACGATATCTTTTTTTCTGTGGATGAGGTCTTGCATTGATTCTTTGGAGATTGTGACTGCAAGGATTGATTTGTGTTTAGCATGATAATACAGAACTGTTGGGCATCGGCTGAGGATGGATGATTGATAGCACCCGCGCTGGCAAGGTGTGGAGCTCGGTTGCTTTAGTTGCAGTGAGGGTGATGATGGCAGTCCCGCTGTACATTTTTGGAACTTTGTTTGTGTTGCGTCTTTTGTTCTTGGTGGACAACATGGAAATGAGAGAGATTGACGGTGAACATGCTTGCTAGTGAACATTATCTGCATGCAAAATGTTTGGTCCAAGTGGCGTACCCGCATTGTGGTCACTGTTTCGTTTGCTGAAGGAATTGTCCGTGCGAATGGAGCAGGCCACCGCGTCTTCCAATGCCGTGGAAATCCGTTTGCAGGAGCTGCGTAGCAATGCTGTGACCAGGGGCCGTGATTGGCTCCGAGGGGCCCTGGAAGAAATTTCTGCAATGGAGCTTCGCAAAATGGCAGGTGCGCGGAATGTTGGCCGTGGACCGGACAAGAAGTGGCTCGCGGTTGGTGAGCTGCGTGCTCGATTGCTGGAAGTCTTGGCACCCTCAATGCAGGTCGGGTGCGGCGGAAAAGGGTTATGATGAAAGTTGCATGTTTGTTACATGGTTCAATGTTGTCGGATGTAGGAAGTTGCGGCTGGCAAATTGGAAGAACTTCGCGAAGGAGCTGTTTCACAGGATTGCTGCAGCCAGAACTGTGTGACCAACAATGCATCATCATGTGTCATTGACCTCATCATGGTACTGCAGATGTGTCATTCGCGGCATCATGGTACCGAGCTTTTTGTGGCTAATTGTGTGGGATTTTTCATCATAAAATGAGAGAATATCTTTCATCCACGGCATCAGGGTACCAAGCTTTTTTTGTGTCTTTTTTCTTGACATGTTGGGAGCAAAGTAGTGTAAAATGTGTGATTTGAGACATCATGGTACCGAGGTTTGCTGATAGTGTTTGCGTGAAGTGATGTAACATGTGTGATCTACGGCATCATGGCACCAAGCTTTTCTGTTAAATTATGTGAGAATTTCGATAGTAAAAGGTGCAAACATGCCACATCTGCAGCATCATGGTACCAAGCTTTGCTTGGAAGCAGCTTGTGGAAGCTGGAAGGTTTGCGTGCCGAGTGGCACATGGAACTGAGTGCGGCGGGCACAAATTAATTTGCACCACTGTTCGCCTGGAGAAGCTGTTCGTGGCGAACGTGCTAAATCAGTAGCCAACTGTTGTTTGTCTGTAAAGACTGTTCGTGACAAACATGTGAACTCTCATTAGTGCGACCAGCAGTTCAAAAAATGGAAAGTGTTCATCTACATGTGTTTGTGTGATCGGACTCGATGACAGACGATCTCATCTTGGTACGAGTGAACGACTATGCATGATCGTGCAATCTGCAATTTCTGAGGTGACTCTTGCGCCAGTTTGGCACCGGCCTGGGTTTTTGATGGATGTTTTTGGTGGAATGCGTCCAGCGCTGTGCTTTGCACTAAGGTTGGCACTTCTGCGCCACGACGTTTCACTGCGATTTCAAAGCATCATTTCGTGTTGGTATGTCTTGCAAAAGCGTCGGCCTGCAAAAGCGCCTGTGTGTAACGGGTTTTGTCTATAAGAGCGTCTGTGTGTACAAGAGTCTGTGTGTAAAAGCGTCTGTGTGGAAAAGCGTCTAGATATAAAAGCTTCTGCGTGTAAACGTGTCTGTGTGTAAAAATCTCGCTCAAAGCGTCTGTGTGGAAAAGCGTCTAGATGTAAAAGCTTCTGCGTGTAAACGTGTCTGTGTGTAAAAGGGTCTGTGTGTAAAAATGTCGGTCGGTAAAAGTGTCTGCGTGTAAAGGCTTCTGTGCGTATAAACCTTTATGACTTTATGTGTAAAAGCGTCTCTGTTTAAAACAATATGTGTGTGTAAAAAGGTCTGTGTGTAAAAGTGTGCGTGTGAAAAAACGTCTGTGTGTGTGCGTGAAAAACGTCTCTGTGTGAAAGCGTTTGTGTGTAAAAGTGTCTATGTGTAAAAGCTTCTGTGTGTAAAAGCGTCTCTGTCTAAAAGCGTCGCGTTTCTTCGCGTTCACGGAATGATGGTGCCGA